GTGATCGACACTGACAATTTTGTCGCTCTCCAGTGAGGGTTCACAGCCCACCGGACAAATCTACAAAAGCCCTCACGTTTGAGCATCTGGCACGCACGATCCCTGCAGAGGGTTCACCAAGCCTCAAATCGACAAAAAAGGCATCTCATCTCCTGCGCACGCACACAATTGATATGATAATATACATATTGCAAAGGTCTACAAATGCAACATGCAGAGCGATAGTATGCATGCGCACTTCTACCTACTATGCAATATACACGGCGATAGTTTGCACAGGACCTGCATGTTTACTATGCATATCTATGCAATGTATACCTATACATGTGCTAGATGCAATGCATGTACATATGCAAGGGTGTAAATGGGAGTGTGTCACATGTACATGTAGAAGTAGCAATGTACAAGTAGCCGGTCTTCAAAAGTAGCAGTATACAAGTAGCCTGCAAATAGCACGGTGCTTCAACAAACAAACCTAATGCAGTGCTCCCGGATAAAACATCCGATCTACTATCCTATCTGTCACACATATTTGTGCATTGTACGCGCCAGCATTAACTCCGCCATGTTCATGGCTCTGGGAAACATGGAACAGGACCCACCTGAAAGCGAACCAAGTTGCAGTAATATATTGAAATCATCGTTATCGAATCTGCTGTGACTCTCCGAGTTACAGCAGCATATTGAAATTATTGTTATCGAATCTCAGCAATACATATCATTGAAATACCACAATGGGTAGAAAATTGGACATGTCAGTGCTTCTACGCCAATAATCTCCAAAGAATTCTGTCATTCTTCTCCCTAACTACGACAATTACCTTGCTTGGCCACGAATCTCTCCCTTTGAGCTCATGAGCCCATCACGCAGGACAGCCCTGGAAGGTATTTCGGTAGTGAGGATCATGTACTAGTGAATGGCACCGACTGTCTTTTGTAAAGAACAATTGTCCTCCAAGGGGCCTAATAATCACACTTCCATGATTACGGCATCGCTGAGCCGCACGATGCCGGATTCGCGTCTTCGCAGCGGGCGTTCTGACGCCCCGTTCGTCTTCGCGCCGCTGGTCTCCACACAAATTAATCATTCCCCTGATGCAGTTGGTTTCGAAAAGAGCTGGTTAAAAACAGAACAAGTCCACGCATTGCAAGAATACACAATAGTCAAAACACATTCAAAGCAACAGCCAGACAGGGACACAAGGAAACTAGCAAGAAAAATAAGAAAGTACTCAAGAAAGTTATTATCTTACTGTGGTTGAAGGCACCCAACCCTCAGAATTCAATAGGAAATCATACTGTCATCAGTGTCACAAAAGCCAAGTCTTAGCATTAGGCCCTAATTCTGGAAACTTGGTCAACTGAGAGGACTCTTACAGCGGGTAGAAGTGAGTCAGTTTTTGTTGAATCCGTTTCGGCAGGCATCTTTTCGCCCCAAGGAAGCTAACAAATGCTACAAAATTCAGCGGAACTCGACACTGCCAGTGGTTATCGCTCTGTTTGCAGTGAACAGGGCCTCTTGTAAAGTGACCCGCTTCCATTCTAAGGGGGTGTCCTCAAGATATTGTTTTTTTGTTTATCCTTCTCTCTCTCTCTCTTACTGGGTCCAGTCGGTACCAGTAAGGAAAGCAACTCTTTCTCCAGTTCTCCCTCAATTCCTCCAACAACTCCATAAGCAATTAAGATAGAAGAGGTTCAGCTGGGCGACTGGTTCGGCAATCCTTCCAGGGCTGGTCATGGAACCAAATCGGCTGAATCCGCCAAGGCTTGAAACACTGAAACAGTGGATTTTTTGGATTTCCATATGTGCTTGGTGTTGCTTTGTGGCTCTGGACATGGAACAGTCTGGAAAGATTCTGGAAATCCATCACCGACACATGCAACTTCATACATCATCCCTTTCTGCTGCAGCCGCAGAACTCGACGCAGGGCTCTTCTTATTTTGAGCTTGGCGCTTATGCTTGTGGGAGAAGATCCTGAATGCCACTACGCCTCACAGCGAGCTTCACGAGAACGGGCAAGAAACAACAACATAGGCCCCCAAGTGACCAGCAACCTATGGTTTCGAAAAAAAAAATCCCTCAGGCGTCTCACATAAAAGATCGTATATGAAACACAAATAAATCCATGCAAATCTTAAAGGACAGTGAAGAAGCAACTCCAGTCCTCAGGAAAGAACATCTGATCACTTTGAGGGGTGCTGTCCTCTTGTCCCCATCATGCTTGCTCCACTGAGTGGTTGAGCGAAATGCTGGCGTGGGGCTGATAGCAAGACATTGCCAGGAATGACGCGAACAAACTAGAACTGTCGAATCATATGGTTCATATGGGTGAAACCAAGATGATCGCTGGGGTCGCATTTCCCCAAAAAGCACCAGAATATGCTGAATATGGCCAGAATGATCCAGAATGGCGCGCCCTCACAGAACCCCATGGCGTGTTCATCGTGTTCTATGATTGGCCTAGAGGCAGCAGCAGCAAACGAAGAGAAATCCGAGGACACCATAGGCCAGCAATGAATAGGGGAACTGATCTGGATACTTCACCTTGGCGGATCGCTGGCGCTGGAGGAAGAGGAAGGCCGGGGTTCCCGCGCTGGCTGGAGTTCCGACCAGGGAATTGATGGAAGGGACCAGGGAGGACCAGGTCACCGCTGGAGGGTCCAAGGAGTGAACATCCAAACGACGTGAGGACCATCCCCGGTTCGTCCAGGCCCATCCGTTCGAGCCAATGAAAGGATTTACGACCACGGATTTCTCTCTACACTGGTGCCCAATGGGAACAAGTGAATGCCCCCACAACAAACTGTATTGGACACAAGTAAAGCACAAGTGACTACCTGATAATCTGGGCGTGTATTGGACATGCTGCAATTGACAAAAAATCAGCAATGCTCTTGCGAACCAAACGATCGCCTCTTCCGCCCGTCGGTCGACCGGTCCCCGATCGGTCGGATGGGTGTCGGGATGGGTGTCGTCATCTCCGCCAGCAAAGTCCGGCCGCCAGGTGGGTGAAAAGAAGATATTTGGGTCTTTCGAACGAACCAAGGCTCCAAGGTCTCCGGGCCAACCTTGAGCCTCCCTGTCCCCATGTTGACCACACCCGACCAAAATGTTCAGAAACGGGTGGCAGGTGATGGTGGTATTTCACCTCAGGAGTGCCTGGCAGGCACACCTGCTAACATGCGAGTCCATTCTTGCATACAGTATGTGCTCTTTTGGAGTGGATGCAAGGGCTAAAGTGGCTTCGCAGGCAGAACCAGTCCATCTCGCCATGCAGCGAATCGAATTGGGCACATTGCGGTCCCAGTGGCATCTTCTAGGCCACAGAGCGGCACAAAGAGCTGAAGCTGCTCCACCAGTCCTCAGGCGCGGCCATGACCGTAAATGCGTGATGAAAAAGGATGATGCTTTACACCAAGGACCAAGCACATGTAGATTCTGATCTGACAATTCTGCAGGAGCCATCTGCAGTATCCATCCATATCCTTGCCTATCTTCTTGGGGAGCCTGGGTGTGGCGGCTCCACCACATTGAAGAACCACATCTTCCGCTTTTCCTGTATCACCCATCATGCACCCATTCGCAGCTTGGGAACTATCCAAACACCTTGGAGATGGCCAAGAGTTGATACATGATGTTTGGATGGCTAAACACCTTTGGATACACATATCACCGTTGTCTCCAATGCCACCTCCTTGGCACCGGAGCATCTTACCCTCGACACCTTGAGGGCGACTTTTGCGCCCATTGCGTTGCCGCGTGGGATTGGGTCAACGATGGTCAACGGCATTGACTAGTCTTCTGACAGATGTCATATCATAACACCTCCCAGGAAATGCCAAGACCCCGTGCACAGTCTACTGAAGCCGCTCTTGGCCTGTGCTTCAGTTCTTGCATCCCGGCATCGCATAGCCTATAGTCTAGGGATGCACATGGACAAGGATTTCGACGTCGTTCTCAAACAGAACAGCCAATGCTTGAAATCCAGTGGATTCCAGTGACCAGCGCTTATAAGAATGGTAGGCAGCGCACAAGGTTGTGACCCCCTCTCTCACACACACACACACACACACGCGTCTGAACCGTTGTCAAAATCTGTTTTTGCCCAAAGTACTCGGCCATTCTAGAGGTTCCAAACAACAAAGCAACCAAAAAATCGAACGCCCCTGTGCCTGTTTAGACTTGCCACGTTTGGCTTCCCCCCTCTTTGACTGAGGATCTTTCCAGGAGGACCTCCGTCTTGGTCACTGTGTCGGCCGTCATCTCATTCTGAGACCTAGCGCGAACAGCGCGTGGTGAGCAATCGACGCGCCTTCGCAGTGGCTGATTTATGATGATGTCCTTTCGACTGGGGTGATGTCGTATGAGTTTTCAGGGGCCGAGCACATACATTGACTGAGCCAAATATGGCCGGCTGGTGGTCTCCAAGGTCTCATGACATGTCAGAACCGTGAAGATCCATGACTCACAGCGAATTCGTCCAACTCCTCCCTCGGGCTGGTCTCCTCAGTTGAAGCTGTTTATGGTTGCCCTTGGGGAACTACAGGCAACCCATGTCTATCATGGAATTTCGAGGGCATAGCTCCACCCCTCCTGATCGATCATGGCCACAAACCTCAAATGGGCATCCGGCATCCGGCTTATTCGGGACACATGGATCATTTCTGAGCAGAACTCATCTTGGAACACAGACTCAAACAAAGCCACTCAGACCGGTGTCTTACAACACTTTGGGGATCATTTTGGAACACAGACCCATTCTTGCCACCCCACCGCGGCTTTTAAACAACGATTTGGTGGGAAGGTGGGGAGAGGTAGACTTTCGGGCCACCAAGCAGCATACCACATCATACCACTAATGAATTACTTGCGTCAACACACAACTGCTCTAATCGCCCCCATACGCGAGACTAAAAATGATAAACAAATACCCTACGGCTGTTTATGCCTTTGAATGTCTTTCCTGCTTGCTCCCATGGGACACCGATCTGCGTGTTTTCACCCCGACGTCGAAAAAAGCCCGACCGTCGCGTGAGTTCCGGACCCGACTTCCGGACCGGCCCCGTCGGGGGAAAGCTCACCACCAAGGTGCAGGAGCAGCTCATTCCAAGCAGCATCCACCAGCTCCCATTGATCCATGAGATCCTGCGACCCGATGAGATCCATGTGAGGATCAACTCATTTATTTGAATATCCATTGGATGAGCACCCGCATGGGCCCCTGAACGCATCACTTGGACGATATGTTTTTTTCTGCCTCTGTGTGTGTGTGTGTGGGGTAGGGCCCAAGTAATCCCAAGTATATATCTCTTCCAGTGCTCTTCTGCCTCCTCGCTGCCTGCGGGCTTTCCAGGACTTTTTCGAAAGAAGACACAGCCGCCGCCCTTGGACCAACCGCGGCCGCTTGGTTTCACCCCTCTGACATCCATGAGCCAACCATGGAGACCATGCGTTCGAAACTGTCCACAACATCCACTGGCCCAGCTGTACCACTGGTTCCTGAAATGGTGACCCTGGACCAAACCCAAGGAGGAAGCTTTCATAAGCTGTCCACAGCCCTGGAACTTTGCCCAATGTTCCACTGGATCAACTTCTTCCACCACACACCGCCGAGGGGAGCGCGACCGAGCCCTCACCATTGAAACGCAGTCCTGGCGCTCGGGCAGCATGATGGCAGGAATCGCTTCGCCGCCATCCTTCAGGCGTGCGTGATTGTCTCGGAACATCCCAATGGCCGCCTGGAGCTGCTTGTCGTTAGAGCGTAGATCATAGCTGAAGAGGACAGCCTCCTTGAACACCTCAAGCCAAGCGAGAAGCGGCGTTGGGTTCATCCACAGCCACACCATGGCCATAATTAATGGTTTTTGGCGGCTTTTCGTCACATTGGTCGTGTGGATACATGTGGGAACGTTTCCACTCATGTTTCCACTTAAGCTGTAACACACATCGAGTCGTGCAGGACTTGGTCTGTTTGGAGTCCGGTTGCGGGAGTCATGAGTAGACACGCGTCGATGGAGTAGGCACTGCAAACATGTCCTTTGCAAACATCCAAGTCCCATGGTCATCAATATGTTTGTCAGCTCATGTCGTGTGCAGTTTTTGTCCTCATCATCAACCTGCCCAGTGAGCGAGACCCCTTGTCTGCTCTGTTGCTACCTCTTAATCCAAAAGTTCATCAAGTCCTGCTTGTTTATTGTTTTCTCGGAAGGGAGCTGTGCCCGTACTAGTACTACTATTCGGTTGAAACCTAGCTCTGTTGCAACCCGCCCACGAACCTTCCACCGTGGCTTGGGACACTTCCAGTTGGGACGTCCCATATCGTTGTCCACAAATCACATGTAATGTAATGATGTGTAATTGGTCCTGGATGAAATGCCCTACAATAACTAGGACCTTCCAAGAGGTGTCAATATAAATAGCCTCTTAGAGGTTAAGGGCTGTCCAAGAAGCACCCGTTGGAAGGTCCTGGAATACATCCGCTATCAGCTGTCAGCAGGAAACCGTTCTTTTTGTGTAACATCGTCCTCTCATGTTTCGACTCTGTGAGGGAACCGCGTCGACCCGGACACCGAGAGTTTCACCCCGGAGGCGGGGTCACCCGGTCAAAGCCTCCGGTTGAGAGTTGAGTTCGGATTCAGTGATGTCCTTTTGAGAATCCAAAGGGGTCGATGTGTTACCAGATATATATGCCACTATCACTGCCACTATCTACAATTATTGGTTGTCCAGTGGGTGGTATCTCCTCTCAAAAAGCCACCCAAGACTCCATCGTTCGGAAAAATGCCATTCGTTCGGATCATGATCATGGCACCTTACGGGCCAGCCCCATCTGCTGCACGGCCAAGTCCATTCGCTGGCCGGGCCAGGAGGGTCTCAAAGCCAACGCTTCCTTGAGGTACTCTTCCTGGTGAGCTGTCGAAACCCGGACGCGGAAGGTGACACCATCCGGAAGCGATGCAAACTGGCTGATTCGTTCGATTTGTTTATTCCATGTGATTCTGTTTGCTGGGCAAGGGAGGCACTGACTTGCTACGAATCCCAGTGTCAAACGGCAAACAAAAGTACCATCTACAAACAGTGTGCGATGCTTTTCTCAGTCATCGAGTGAAAAGGCCTCCCCCGTCCCCGACCCTGTGGCCCGACCTGCAGTGTCAGGACGTCTTCCATCAAATGATCTCCGGCATCGACCATTTGCAAATTCTGCGGCATTGGACTCCCTGACGGTGGTCAACTGGGTTCACTGGCGTAGAGAGAAGCAGGTGTCTAAGGAAATAGGGCTGCCGGGCTGCCCATCTGGAATTCAAGATGTCGCAAGGAGCACCCGCAGGGACAAAGCTCGCCGGAGTTCTTAGAGATTCAGATCTTCCAGTACTATATATAGTCACCAGACATGTCAGGTTGAGGTTGACATAGGACCACTACAACGAGTCACCCACCGGAAAACACACACAAAAAACAAAACAACAACAGCTGTCAGCGCCTGCCAATCGCTGCATCTCCTGCACCCATGGCTCCAGCTTGATCAACTCCTCGAAGTGCCATTGCGTCATGGGTGCAGGCACCGGAGGTGTGAACGAGCCATAGATCGCCTCATCGCCGTGAACGCCGCCATGCCGTCACAACGATGAAACCTTTTTGATCCTTTTGGCGTCCGAGAGCACCCTGTGGACCGGAAGTATACCCGAGATCTCGGCGCCCAGACCACGTCCGAACATTCCACAGCTTGGGAGTTGGGTCCTGGAAGAGTTTGCGAGCTTTGGCATGGGGTATCATTGGATACTTCCAAGAAAAGGCACTTCTGGTGAACTTCTGGGCGAATGTTCCACATTGCTGCTTCTGGTGAGTAGCCTGCTACTTAAATCGTGCGTTTGGTATCTTGTGTATGGCAAACATATGTGTACTTATAATCATTCTATATACAGCTGTAACCTCACTAGTTTAAGCTATAAGTCCTGTATGTTTTGTATGTGTGTTGTCAGGCATATTATACAATTGGAGTGCGTCACATATATCCAGTTGTTATCTTCGGTATATAGGTTTGCAGGTGCCAGCTACATTTCACACTTACAAGAGTAAAACATTGAATATCAAATATCAAACATGTATTTGTATGTTTTGGAACTCATGGAATCCATATATATATATATATGTAAGTATATATGTATATCATGTCCTGAACTTGAAATCAATAATGGTTCAATGTGATGACTGCATCAGCCACTCCACTCAACTATAGTTTCATGAGTCAGAATCAGGAATTGGTTGTGCACTATGTTGTGGTTGATGTTGTGGAAAAAAGGTGTTGAACATTTCAATGTTGTGACTGTGTTGGGAAATTGAGATATGTTAAAGTCTGTGTTGTCAGTGATGTTGGTGGGAAAGGGCTATGTTGTGAGATGGGGTCCCATTTGGAATGTGACCTGTTGGCGTCGTTACCTTGAAACAGTTTAAAACGGTTTTTTGGGGCAGCTCATATTCAGCATGAAAAATGCATCTGCTGGAAAACAATGCAACATGCTTGACGCATTGCTTATGTTGAACAATTCAAAAGCTGTACCCCTAGGTAGATTAAGTACTCTGAAGCCACCGGAGTTCAGCTGCTTTAGGCTTTAGTGAAGGGATGTGAAGGGTCAAGGGTAACATAACTAACCTGGATGGAAAACATGAAAAGCAACGCTTAGAGAGAGCTAGACTGGAACCAATCCCAGACGCTCCATGTATGGTATATATGCCTACATTGGGGTGGTTTGAGGGGTCAATGTAGGCATATATGGCATACATGGAGCGGTTGGGAATGAGATCAACCATCTTCTGCCTTGGCTTCTTGGGGCTGTGGATCGAAATTCAAAAAAACAAGAACATGAGACGGCAAAGGCACATCTCCTCACAGGAACTCTCAAGGACATGGTCTAAATCATAGAACTGTGCATCACTCTCAACATTAAACTTTACATACCCCAACTTTCCACCCGCAACATCAATCACAACATAGGTCAGAACCAATACGGACGGAACCAACAGAATCAGCACCTTCAGGCGTCACCTCCGACATCATGTTTGTCCAACAAGAATCCAACACCATAACCTACAACGTCACCACCATCATGGTGCGTAACCGATACTGACTTCAAAACAAAGACCGCCTTTTGTAGAATACACTTCTTTGCAAAGATATATAAGTAAGCAAATGTAAGCGGCATGGTAGCATGATTCAGTTTTAGCTCAATCCAGAGCCAAAAGCTTCAGAACCACGCCTCCCCTAAGCTGGAAAGAAAGTTGGTCTCAACATATAGCCTAGCCTGCGCAAGTACTTGTACTAGTGTCAGAGTGAATGTCAGGCCTTTGTTTCTACTGCCATATAGTTCTACAAATTACACGGTTATCTACAACATCATTTTGTCATTTTGTCCAACAAACGTCCAGCGAACATCATCACCAGCATATTTCATAACCGTTGCTGCCTCGAAGAAACACAAACGCCCCTTTATAGAGGTCAGTGCTTGAAGTAAAGTGGAAGCAATGCTAGGTTTGGATTGTCAGATTTCAGTTCTTTTATAACATAAAACATATAAGCAACTGGAGATTGTTGAGTGCATTTTTCAAAATATTTATAAAAACATGGAGATTGGTGAGCTAGCTTGTTTGTTTATAGATTGATAAAAAGAAACTCGAGATCGGTGAGTCCAGTTTTTGATAAATTGATTAAACAAAAACTGGAGATTGGTGAGGCCAGTTTTTAAAGATTGATTTAAACAAAAAACTGGAGATTGGTGAGGCCAGCTTTTCATAGATTGATAAAAACAGGAGATTGGTGAGGTCGGTTTATGTAGATTGATTAGAAAGCCATGATCACCCAAACCCATGACATAGGTAAGTGCTTTTCGTTTACCAACTTTATAGGTCATGAACCGGAAAACCCGGTTGTTTTAACTTGGCTCAAGTTTTGGAACATATCTTTGTGTCTAAGTCGTGTGTCAACACGTGCGATTTCAATACTGCGCTTATTGAAGTTTGCCGAAGGCACACCCTTTTTGCCTACCTGAAGTTTTGCCTCACCTGATGATATAATTTGCAACAAGTGGTGCAGTGCGTTAGCTGATGTGTTTTTTAAAGTTTGACATGAAAACGTGACGTGCTGCCAAACCAAATGCTTTCATTGTCACCAAAGCCAGAGAAAACTCCTAAGCGCATGAGTGTCGTGCACATGATCAGCTTTGTGGCTCATTCTCAAACATCGAGAGCGAGCTTTGGTCAGGCAAAAGCACCTCATCCTTGATGGAACTGTTTTGTGGCCCCTCACACAGTTGTTGAGCTTGATGGTTAGTTTGTGTACAAGGGGCTAATAAGGTTTGCGAGGTCGACTGGTCACTTCGACATAACGAAAATTGTGACTGGCAAATTGCCCATACATTATAGATAGGTAGGCCATCCACCTTGAAACAATAAACAGCAAACTGAGCTTTTTTTAATGCAGAATTGGAGCAACGATGGGTGTCGATGCTTTAGTGAGTTAGAACCAAGCAGTTCCAATGGACAAAAAATCAAGCAAGAGTGGCTGTGCGTCTTAGGATTGTCAGGCACACAGCATCTAATTTTCAGGCGTGCAAGCGCCCTGCAAAGTGCCTCAACCCTTTACTATTGTAAAGTGCAAATAGTCTATTGTCCAGCTTAGCTTTTTGGCTGTATTTCATAGAAGTGTATTGTTGCGTCACAAGGACCCACAAGACAACACCAAACAATCCTTTGCACAATTTCAAGATTGAAAAATAGTGTGTGGGTGACTAGTAGCGCTAATAGCAGTTTTTTCTGTTGGATGATAGAGGGCAAGCATTCTCTGTCGAGTCGCTCTTACAGCAAAGCTTCGAGGGTCCAAGACTTGTGGAGAGGGGACTCCCTTTAAAAAAACACACACAATAGCATGGGAAGTGTTCACCCGAGTCTGAGTAAGCAATTGTTTGTTGTGCCTTGGAGTTTTCAAGCGCATTGATTGCCATTCCGGAATCAAAACATTTTGCTGCTCCACTGCTTCAAAAAATATGTGGGATAGGCACAAAGCGTACAAAAGTATCAACAAGCCAATAATGTACCATATAATGGTTCATAATGGCACCTTAGACAACCTCCAAACAAATTGTAGAACTGCATTACATACTTGATTTTATGTGTCGTCTACGTCATTTTAATGGGTTTCTTACGCCTACGGATTTGTTTGCGGGTTTTCTACGGCAAACAAACGTGGTTTTCAGGCCATTTCAGGCCCCACAGTCTGGTGTCCCATGAAATCAATCAAGCCTCAATTGTCCGACTCCAAATATTGATATCGGAAATGTGCCTGGTAAACACACAAAGTACATGCACCATTTGACGACTAATTGCCTTATTGATGCAGTGACTGCAGTGCTAGCTTGCTCCTTCAAATCCTCTTGATGGAGCCTTTTTGCATCGCTACGTTTTCCACTTTCCACATTCATGCGAAAAGCAAGGGCCAACCGCCAACCATGATCTAAAACAGATACTATTGGTCCTTGCCATAGATTATAGTTCATTGTTGAGGTGCATGAAGGAATGCAAGTGTATTGTCTATTGGCAAGTGAAGGTCTTAATTACTTTGAATAAGCTACAGTAATTTTTTATTGCTTCCAGGTGAAGGCCTTCTACGTGCACTACTAATGTTGTGATACTTAACATGTATGACACTATGTACAGTTACACATACTAAGTCCAGCAACTGAAGATAGAAGTAGAACACCCCGTGTGCTAAACAGTTAGTAAGTTTTGTAACATAGTAAGCACTGCAAACATTTAAGTATCCTTCGATGTGTTTTGCGCATGGCGATGCACGGCGCGAGTGATGCGAGACTCGCGAAGCGCAAAGTTCTGTCTCGGTGTGGCGCAGTGAGCATGTTCACATCACTTCTTATGAGAAGGGCGTGCACTTCGGGAGTGGCTGAAGGGTCTCAAAGCTGTTTCAAATGCCAAGCGCCAGAAATCGAACACGGCTTCTGGCAGTTCAAACTAAAACTGGGAGCCGACTGGATGATCAGTGGATATACCCATAGTAGCACATATAAAGTCTCGTGCAGGCTCAATGCAGAAGGTTTTGCGAGGTCTGAGGTGTCTGAGGATCATCTTTCAGAGCGATAATCTGCTTTTAACGACTTGGAGCTAAGTTCGGTTTGGATGTGATGACAGTCGCACAGTCAAACCAAAGATTTGTCAATGGACACTTGGATCCTGAAAATCAGCCCCCAAGTCTCTGCTCAAGAACAGCTAAGCTAAAGTAAAGTCCAGTTGCATGCACCAAACATGTTTCCTTTATTTCACTGATGGTGTTGTCAATTGGTTGTCATTGTGTAATATCACCCCACTACACCACCCCACCAGAAAAGCAGTTACACACTGCGTTCGGGACGCCAGTGTTTAGCTCACTCAACGTCTACAGTCTACCAGTCTACGTTGGGGCTATATTCCATTCAATCATGGGCACCCCCACACTCCTGGAGCTTGTCTTGGGAGGCGATCAAGAACTGTCTGGCACTGCGATGACTGCAAACTTCCCAAACACCACCCACCCATGAAAGTCACCCGCAGTGCCAAGGGCTACATATGGAAAGATAGCAAGCAACTAAAAACAACAACTTCTAACAAAGTGTGCTGCAAACCTAGGTGAAACATATATGCGAGCGCCAATGCAATGGTAAACGTTTGCAAGAAAAAGGCAACAAACGTAGTGCGCATCACTTGTCAAATTAGAGGTGTTTCTGCCTCTTTTGTAGTTTTGACCTGAGTGACCTCTCCAGTGTAATGAAAATGCAGGCTGCTTCAAGCACGATCTAAAATTAGGACTCGGATGTGCATATATACATATTATATTATGTATAATATGTACACAGTCTATGTACACACCGCCTCAGTTGGCAGGTCTTGTTTTTCTTCTTTATGCAAGTCGTTGAGAGCCAACAATTACAATCCTCAACAAAGAACAGGAAATCCGGTGCATCATTGCTGGCCGGAAATCCGGTTTCATCGATTGCCGCCACAGTGACGAGTTTCAAGGTATCAGCGAGCTTTTCCAGCAACATGTTTTGCCGTCGCTCACGATTTGGACTCGGCGGGCCGTGGATGAAAGAAAAGGGTGAGGAAACTGAACAAAAACAGGTATTTAGACATGTGTTGCAATGATCTGAATTGAACATAAAGTTAAAGGTAAATTCAGAAAAAAAAAACGTTGCCGATAAAGCTAGATGCTGGCCGTGCTGAAAAATCAAATATGCAGTTGCGAGCTCTTGGCTGGTGCACGAGAGATGCGCCACTTGATCATATATCTGCCTAAGTCCGATGCAGCTCAATCAAACCCATTCGATGGGTCAATCTTGAGTTTGTCAAGGTGAGGGGGATTGCTTTCAGAACTCTGATTGCAGAATGGAGTTCGAGTTTGCAAACCACAAGCCAGTGGTAAATGGTGGGGCTCCTGAGACATGTTCCTCCCAAAAAAACTCACACATAAACAAGTAGACCACCCTTCGCTAAAACAGTCCTCTTCCTGAGCATTGCCTAGCGGTTCCCATATATCAAATACGAGTGTTTATGTTTCCTACCGCAAGGGTTGCCCATATATAGATATGGATGCAAATAAATACACA